ACACCGTTGAGTATGATGCTCGCTGTGAGCCTGGGGACCCAAGTCAGGTCTGAGCGTGCACTGACCTCTCTGGTCTGCTGACAGGGGAAGCCACAGGCTGTGCTTTGGGTCCAAGACCCCTGCCCGTGGGGCTGTTGACTGGGTTTTGTGGCTCCTGGGTGCTCTGGGTGGGTCTCTGGTCTCTGAGGCTGAAGCCTGTGTTCAGTGATGAGCAGGCCTCTCAGTCCCTGCTCTGGCTCAGATGGAAAAGCAGCTCTAAGGCTAGGAAAGCTCGGGGCTTTCTTAACTGAAGCCGACGTGCACCCCAAGCTCTCTGATCAGAGTCACTGGCAAACCATTGGCCCCACCCACCTCTCAGCTCAAGCCCTGCTGGGCCACACAACTTCCAGGAGGCCTTGCCAGTCCTCTGGTCAGACGGGACTGCGGGTGTGCCCCGGCTCCCTTGCCCGGGCGGGAGGGGAGGGGCTGCTCCCGGCCACCCTCAGCTTCCCAGTCGGCTCTCCAGCCTGGAGATGCGAGCAGCTGCCGTCGTCAGCCTTGGCTCTGAGCTTGTCCCCTGGCTGTGGGCAGCAGAGAGCGGGCACACTGGTCCCCAGCTCTGCTCTGGGGGCGACCCGCCCTGCCTGCCCGCCTCCAGCGTGAGCTCAGCTGGGCGCACAGCTTGCAGGAGTCCTTGCCAGCCTCCTGGTCAGACGGGGCTGGCCGGTTGCCTGCCAGCGGGCGGGGCCATGACTCAGCTCCTGCCTGGACCTGGGCAAACAGCTCTTAGGTCAGCAAAACTCCAGTCTGAGGATCTAAATCAGGCGAATCTGCACCCAGCAAAGCGGCGCACAGTGGTGGGGGCGGGTGGGCGGAGGCTGTCCCACCCCAGGTCTTGTCCCACTCGGGGCTCTGGAGGCTCGAGGGGGCCCCTCCACACAGTGCAGTGCTGGGGGGGAGGGGCAGCGTGCTGGGCCTGTGGCCACTTTCTTACCCGGTGCGCGGTCTCCTGGTCCCTGGGGTCAGGGCGCTGTGGCCTCCACCCAGACTTCCAGGGTTTGCTCACTGCTGTCCTGCTCTCCAAGGCGGTGAGTTGCCCTTCTTGTGAGGGGAGCAAAGTCAGGAAGGGCCCGTGTCACCATCTTGGTGACCTCACTCTCCCAAAATACTTCTCAGAAGAAACGTCCTCCACGTTCCAAACTGTTACTGTGAGGAGGGCAGTAATGTGACACTTTCCTCACAATCAGAGGGACCCAGGCTCAGAGGTGTGTCCCCCCTAACTCATGCCTACCTGCAGGCATGTGGTGGGGATGGGCAGGGCAGGGGAATTTCCAGGAACCGAAAGGAAAGCTGTCTCGACCTTTCAGCTGCAGCAGCAATGTGTTGGCGGAACCGTGAACCTGAACCCCGAGTCAGGGCAAACCTCAAGTGGCTAAAGAGATGCGGTATAAGTGACTCAGAAGATATCAGCTATCGTTTCACTCCTCAATGTTAACATCAATACCAGACCACTTGATTAGCTTCCCCAGTGGCTCAGGCGTGAAGCATCTGCCGACAATGTAGGAGATGCAGGTTTGATCCCTGGGTCAGGAAGATCTCCTGGAGGAAGGCATGGCAACCCACTCCAGAATTCTGGCCTGGAGAATCCCATGGGCAGAGGAGCCTGGTGGGCTACAGTCCATGGGGTTGCAGAGAGCAACGGAGCATTGCCACTTTGCAGAAAGAGGATGATTTTGCAGACTTGCTTAAATGTTCGTGATCACTTGCTGGATATAAAAATGATGGAATGTTCTAGAGAACTGGGTAACAGCTGACACTGGTGTGATTCTACCAGTCATTAGGTGTCACGGTCTGGCTGCCAGTGTGGGCGTACTCTGTCACCTCCGGCTCTGTGTGACCCCAAGGACTGCAGCCCCTAGGGTCCTCTGCCCATGGGATTCTCCAGGCAAGAATACTGGAGTGGGTTGCCATTGTCTACTCCAGGGGATCGAACCCCGGTCTCCTGTGTCCCTTGCTTGGCAGGCAGGTTCTTTACCACTGAGCCATCTGGGAAACCTTCTGCTGCTCAAGTTCACCAAAAGCAACATGGGGTTGAAAGCTAAAGAGCCACATTTTAAGTTGTGTGTATTTACCTCTGGCTGTGCTGGGTCCTCACTGCTGCATTCTCCAGCTGTGGAGAGCAGGGGCTACTCTCTGCTGTGTCTGGGCGTCTCGCTGCAGAGGTTTCTCTTGTTGGGAACACATGCTCTGGGGCACTCATGCCTCCTAGCTGCAGCACCCAGCCTCAGGAGCTGCGGCTCTTGGGCTTAGTTGCTCCGAGGCATGAGGGGTACTCTTGGATCAGGGATGGAACCCGTGTCCCTTGCATTGGCAGGCAGATTCTTATCCATTGACTCACCCAGGAAGTCCAAGAATCACATTTTAAATCAGCAGACTTCCTGCTAAGAAGCTAAAAATTGCTCTGAATTCAAGGGAAGTCCAATCAATGATTTGCTCTTTTAAAGGAATTGCTTATGTAAGAAAATTTATATCAACTTTCTTGACATTTAAATCTGACATCTTTGTTAATAAAAACAGCACCAAATAAATGTGCATTTGTCCTATTCGTTAATTATACTTTAATCTACATAAAGAATTAAAAATGTATATGAGGGCCTGAAATGAATTATTGCCTAAGTTAAATTCTTACACTTTGGAAATAAATGTACTTAGTGCTTTGTTTTTAAGAAAAAAGAAAAGCAATTTATGTTAGCATAACTCTAACTTGAGAAAGTGTTTTTGAAACAGGAGGGAAGGGGGTGGGGCACAACCTTTGAAATAATGACAGGGGCCAAGAACACTACATGAACTGATTAGACTCAAATGGGTCCAAGGTGGCAAAGTCAACCTAGACTAGACCTTGATCATCAATATCACACTCACTGTACTCCAAGGCCACACTCCCCTGTTACTCCAGGAATCTCTTGACTTTCTTCTTTTGCATTCCAGTCCCTGATGATGAAAAGGACTTTTTTTTTTTTTTTTTTGGTGTTAGTTCTAGAAGGTCTTGTAGGTCACCATAGAACCGTTCAACTTCAGCTTCTTCAGCATTACTGGTCGGGGCATAGACTTGGATTACCGTGATATTGAATGGTTTGCCTTGGAAACAAGTGGAGATCATTCTGTCATTTTGAGTTGCACCCCAGAACTGCATTTTGGACTCTCTTGTTGACTATGATGATTACTCCATTTCTTCTAAGGGATTCTTGCCCACAGTAGTAGATATAATGGTCATCTGAATTAAATTCATCCATTCCCGTCCATTTCAGTTCCCTGATTCCTAAGATGTCGATGTTCAGTCTTGCCATCTCCTGCTTGACCACATCTGGTTTACCTCGATTCATGGACCTAATGTTCCAGGTTCCCATGCAGTATTGTTCTTTACACCATTGGACTTGACTTTAACCACCAGACACATCCACGATGGAGTGTTTTTCCCCGTTGGCCCAGCCACTTCATTCTTTCTGGAGTTATAAGTAATTGCCCTCAGCTCTTACCCAGCAGCATACTGGACGCCTGCTGATCTGCACGGGCTTATCTTCCTGTGTCATATCTTTTCGACTTTTCTTACTGTTCATGGGGTTCTCTCAGCACCTCAGCAAGCGAAATGACCCTCAGAAGTGTCATGACGGTTGCAAGGCAGACCATCAAAACCAAAAAAGGAGCAGTGGCCCAATGCCTAGAAACTTCCACCCCTTCCCTAAAATAATTGGAATGATCCTCCCACCCATCAGCCTAGGAAATTACTCAGCCATAAAAGCCAACCACACCTCATTTCCAGGCTGCTCTCCGCTCTGTGCCAGCCCACACTGGTCTGAATAAATCAGAATAAATCCACTTCTTACCTCCCACTTTGTCTCCCACAGAATTCTTTCTGAGATGAGACACCAGGCACCTGAGCTTCATCAAGTCCTGAAACCAGGTGTGTGCTCTCATTTGCAAGACAGTGGGTTTTGGCCGGGTTCAAGCCCCAGTCTGAGGGGAATGGTTTCATCTTCTCAGAGCGCGTCTTCCAAAGCAGCCAAACCCTTCCAGCAGCTGGCTCACCTGCCGGCCCCGAGTTGAGATGGTCCGGGCCACGGGGACGATGACACTGAAGCTGGCGGGGGCTCTCCTGGGTCCAGCCCCCACCCTGTGAAGCCATCACTTAGAGAGCGGAGGGTCTCTGCTGACACAGGGCCAGAAAAAGACGAGAAACAGTCCACATACTTTCACCCTCACAGCACTCGCGATGGTATCAGCGCCCAGCTCTCGCGAGATTCCGGGTCTTCTCTGCCTTCTGGGTTCTCAGCACCCATTTCCACCGGGTCCGTGTGGGCCGCCTGACTGCACAGCCAGAACCTTCCAGGGGAACTGCAGAGGCCGTGGCCTGCAGCACTGAAGAGGCCACACACCCGCACGCTGAACGGAGGCAGGAGGAAGAGGGGCAGGGCACAGCCTCAGAAGACCCACGGCCATCGAGGACACCACGCGAACGGGTTGGAACCGATTGGGGCCAAGATGGCGGAAGATCCAACTTCCCGTGGTCCTTGAGCCTCACTATACGTTCTAACACATCAGCAAAATGACACGGCCACGGGCAGCATCCCAGTTCCCAGGCTGATCATGAAAGGTCAGAAAGTGGGCGGTGGGGGCCCTTCCCCTAGGAGATTCCCCAGCTCGTAGACTCGAACCACCCCACACCTCGGGCGCTCCTGCCTTGTCAGAGGGACCACACTCTGTCTATGGACTGAGCACCTCCCGCGGTGGCCTGGTTGCCCGTGACTGCGGCCGGCTCTTGAATATTTCCCGGCTGGCAGCCAAGAACCCTCACAGCAGCCCATCCTGGGGCTCAGCCAAGACCTGGGGTGTGAGCATCCTCTCATGCCCCATTGTCCTGCAGCGTCTATAGAGGAAGCGGAAGAAGGTGGTCTTTCCCTTCCCTCCCGTTTTCCCTTTGATTATAAAAGTGTAGCCCACTTGTTTCCCCAGAGCCCCCTTACCTGCTTGTTTGTACCCCTCACAGTGTCCTGCATTAACACATCTACTTCTCACGTATCACTTTGCCTCTTCCTGAATTCCTTCTGTGCTGAGACATAAAAGAACCTGAGCTTCAAGTTCTGAAACAAGGTGTATGACTTTAGTTAGAAGATTGTGGGTTCAAGTCCCAGCTGAAGAGTTCAAGTCTCCCCTGAAGCCAGACACTGTGGCTTGGAGTTCATCCAGAGTGGAGGAGGCTGGCAGGGCACAGCCACCACTTCTGACGTGCCTCACACTCACCCCGACAGCCGTGCAACAGGATGGGTCAGAGGGGGCACTGTGATGGGGGCTGCTGGAGTGGGACACACTCATGTTCACACAGACATGCACACACGCTATGCACACACGCATGCACACCTTTCCTTTCCCAAAGGCATAACCTCTTTCCCTGCCCAAGGTGCCCTCTGCTGCCTTAGGCAGAGAACTACCTTTTCAATCTTCCATGCGCCTGCTGGGTGCCCACCCCACGCCAGGTACCCCCCAGGAGCAGAGGCCTCACACTGATGGGGCGTTGAGAGCCCCCGTCCTAGAGGAGGAACGGGAAATAGACAACTAGGCAAAGAGAGAAATCAGACAAAGGCAGGAGAGACGTGCGTGTCATCCCCCAGAGCAGGGAGCCTGGCCGGCAGCCTGGGGATGTGTCCTACCGGGATCTCACTCCCACGTCTCCGTGAAGCTGGCCGAGTAACCTCAGGCCCCTGATACAGCCGCTCAGCTCCCCGGATGCAAACCCAGACAGGTTTCTCTGGGTGGGAACCCACAGCCCCGGGTCTGCCGTTCACAGACCGGCTCGGTGAGCCCCACGGAGGAGAGCAGGCTGCCCTGGCAAGGCAGGTGGAGCACCTAGGAGCCGAGGAGCCGGACGCCACAGCTGGACAGTGAGGGCCCAGCGCCCCTGGGCTCCCGAAGCCCAGATGTGGGCAAGGGTGACGATGCGGACGGTATGTTTTCTATATAGGCCAGGCCACGGCGGGGTAACAGTACGTGGGTAAATATCCAGAGATAACTTTGTGCCTCTGCTCCCACAACACGCAAACATCCATACAATTTGAATTTTGTCCCCAAACTAAATAACACCACCCTCCATCGATTTTACCTAGTTCTGTGGCCTCCTTAGTTCCAGGCACCATCGTAGCACATGGCTTCTTAACCTTGGAGCGTGTCAGAACCCTGAGATGCTTCCCTGGTTGGCTTTTGCTTGCAAAGGAAATGGCTCTTTGCAATGGTACCATGGGTAATTGTGTCGTAATACTTGTTTTCACTCCAGCAAGTGGCAGGACCTGTTTGTAAGTCGCAGAGTCCCTGGCAGCTGCTGACCTGGGAACTTCTGAACTCTTTGGAAAAAATAAATTGCTGGCAAGATGTAGAGAGATTACAGAGAGACTGGGGGTGATTAAATGAGAACGTTGTGTAAAGATTGCTACTGGAAATGATTGTGTGGGTTCTAAATAAAAATGGTAGGAAATCACTGTAATGAAAAAAGTCATCCACCTATGTGTGTATGTATGTAGAAATAGAAGAACTGACTCATTGGAAAAGACTGATGCTGGGAAAGATTGAAGGCGGGAGGAGAAGGGGATGACAGAGGATGAGATGGTTGGATGGCATCACTGACTCAGTGGACATGAATGTGAGCAAACTCCAGGAGATGGTGAAGGACAGGACAGCCTGGCACTCTGCAGTCCATGGGGTTGCAGAGAATCAGACACAGCGACTGAACAACAACATGTAGGAATATATATACACTCACACACACACACACACACACACACATACACACATGCAATGAGTCTGTAAGGAGACACACGAAACCCTTCTCTGGACAATAGAACCTGTTGGGGGAGGAATATGTGCACTCTATCGATGCCCTTTTACATTGTTTCCATATTTTTAGAAAGAGGATTTCATTTTTAAAAGAATAAAGATTTTTAAAGAAATTGTTCATTGCAGCACTATTTACAATAGCTAGAATATGGAAGCAACCTAGATATCCATCGACAGATGAATGGATAAAGAAGTTGTGGTACATATATACGATGGAATATTAGTCAGTCATAAAAATCCAAAAACAAAAAGCCAGAAAATTCATTTGAGTCAGTTCTGATGAGGTGGATGAACCTAGAACATATTATACAGAGTGAAGTGAGTTAGAAAGAGAACGATAAACATCATATTCTAACACACATATATGGAATGTAGAAAAACGGCACTGAAGAATTTATTTACAGGGCAACAACGGAGAAACAGATTAGAGAACAAACTTATGGACATGGGGAGGGGGAGGACAGGGTGAGATGTATGGAAAGAGTATCATGGAAACTTATGTTACTTATTTACTTATTTTACATATGTAAAATAGACAGCTAACAGGAATCTGCTGTAAGGCTCAGGACACTCAAACAGGGGCTCTGTATCAGCCTGGAGGGGTGGGATGGGGTGGGAGATGGGAGGGAGGTGCAAAAGGGAGAGGATATTTGTGTACCCATGGCTCATTCATGTTGAGCTTTGACAGAAAACAGCAAAATTCTGTAAAGCAATTATCCTTCAATAAAAAAAGAAAGAAAGAAATAAAGATTTGTAAAGGAAAATATACTTTTTATGAAGACATTTTGTTATGAAGAACTCCAGAAAGTAAACGGAAGTGCCGGCATTTTTTAGGTCACTCCCTTTCGTTGCTGAACCATTTCCCCTTGGTTTCTCTCACGCCCCTCTTCCCAGCTGGTGGTGTAGAAGGCAGCCTGGCTGCTCACCCCCTCCTGCGCTCCCTGATGAGCCCCGCCTTCCCTGCGCCCCACCGACGCACGGGGGCTGGCCTTCGGGGGTGAAGTGGTCCCACTGCCCCACCCTGATCATCCGTCCTCCCGCTGCCTGTCCACCGGACCGACAGCTCCCTGAAGCCTGGCCTGTCTAAAGAAGCAAGTGATGTGGCGGGGCCCCTGGAGAGGCTGGCAGACAGTGGTGCAGACAGCCTCCCCGCATCCAGCAAACTTCCCCGGGGCCACACTCTGCCTGGGCTGCAGGGGCCTGGACACAGAGGAGAAGCAGGGCTGCCTCCCAGCTGGGCAGCCTGCGGCTGAGGGCCTGGCCAGCAGGACCGATATCCTCCTCTCTGCCCCAGAGAGAGCTGGACCGGACATCCCTCTCTCTGCCCCAGAGAGAGCTGGACCAACATCCCTCCCTCTGCCCCAGACAGAGCTGCCTGTCTCAAGGGCATCACCGCATACCTGCCCATCTCGAGCAGTCTGGTCACTTCCCGCCCTCTGTGCCAGGGACCCGGGGATGGCAGCGGGCCAGGGAAGGGCACTCCTGCTCAGGCCAGGCAGGGGCAGGCTGATGATGAGCTCTGAGAACCGGACAGGATTGTGAGTCATAAGGGGGGAGAGTTCTGTGTGGACAGCAAGCTGCCCACAGACCTGGCCTCTGCGGTCCGGGCGAGCTGAGGGTCCAGTGCCCCGGAAGAGGGACCCCCAGCTGGGGGGCATGCAGATCCTCCGTGGCTGGGATCTTTCCTGAGATCTCCTGGGATTTTGGTCTTCCGCGGCCGAGAGGCAGCGACACGCCCACTGTGTCAGTGGCCGTCTGAGCCAGGACGTGGCTCTGCACCCAGGACCCAGGCTCTTCCTGGGAAAGGGGTCTGGACGTGGGCGCCACAGGCCAAGTCAGGGTTCTCCAAGGAATCTTGAATGTCCTGCTTCTTAAACTCTGGGGTGCAGCTGAGTAACGGTGTGACGTTTCACTGTGTCTGACCCGTGGCTTGGGAAGCGCCCCTCACCTGGACGGCTCGAGTGAGGACAGGGTGGGGGCGACAGGCACCTCTCGTCTCCACCTCCCCTCTCCCCACTCCCCAGCAGGGATGCGTCAGACCTGTTCTCAACAGCTCTCCTTCATGGTGCTCACACTGCAGTTCCTTTATTACCTAGGAGCTGAGAACCCTGTGTCTTAAGAGCTGGTCATGAACTCTGTCAAGTATCTCCCCATGCCTGGGAGGCTGGGGGGCGGGGCGTGGTCCAGGGGCCACAGCAGAAATCTACACAGACGGGGACTCCCTGGGCAGTAGAAGGGGTATGTGGGTTCACAGAGGTCAGACAGGCCCCCAAGTCTCACCCCCACCTTGGGGTTAGGAGAGCCTGAGGTATGCTGCTGGGGGCCTCCCCAGGCCGGGGACCGCAGCCGTTCATCTGTCCATCTGTAGCTCTGTCCCTCAGTCTGACCAGCATTTCTCTCCACGCTTTGCACTTGACCTTCAGTATAATATTTTTTTTTGGATTTAGTAAGACATACAGACTCTATCAAACAAGACGATGCCTGACTTGTGGGTGTCATGCTCCCAGGACACTCTGGGAGATTCTGACTCTACAGAATCATTTCCTGAAATGCCCTGGGGTCCAGGAGAGATCGCAATGGTTGAAACGTTTGCAAATGACTGTATCTTTGGCCTCCTAGGTGATGTTGACATCACTGTAGCCCGAGAGGGATTTCCCAGACAAGAATACGGGAGTGGGTTGTCATTTCCTCCTCCAGGGGATGTTCCTGACTCTGGAATCAAACCCTGCTTTGCAGCCAGATTCTTTACTGCTGCGGCACCTGGGAAGCCAGAACAGTGCCTCAAAATAGAAAACCATGGAGTCTGCAAAATATTTGGTGAATTCACTCAAATAATCACAAAGGGAGTTTGTCTGAACTGCTCATATCACCTACTTACAAATCACACATGAACAAGTATCTTCAACAGCTTGCCACTATTTCCTGACTTTTATACCTATAAGATATCACCAGATGTTTTGGAAACCAAACAAACCAAACCAGACTATAAATTGATGGAATGGAAGAAGGCTGAGGCAGAGCCAGGGAGGGTTTAAGCCACCAAAATGATTTTTTAAATTTAATTTAACTCAGGNGTTTTCCGCCAGAACTTAGATTCTAAATGAAAGTTTGCCAGGCAGAGCGAGGGGGGCAGGAGCAGGGCCCTGATCCTCCTCTCACAGCGTCTCCAGGCCTTGCAGCCCGAGCAGGCGCTGTGTGTTCCGTTCTCCCAGCACGTTTGTTGTAACGGTGAGTCTGCTGTGCCCATCACCAAACAGTAACGGCATTTGTCACCGAGCGTGGCGCTCTCTCCCCTCACTGAGCGTTTAGTACATGCCTGCTTCTGTGATAAAAGCTCTGCATCCTTGAGCTCAGTACACTCTCACAGTCTGCTCCTCACTCTTGTTTCTGTGGAATTTGGTGTTTTGCCAAACACTTCATAGTGTCCACTTTGCAAGAATGAGATCGAAGGACACAGGTGGTGTTGTGCCCTCTAACTTCAGGTGGCTGAACTCTGCCCCTGACTCCAAAGCCCTGCCCTTCCCAGCACATCATATCCTCGGACAGTCTCTGAGCTGCTTTTATCGTAATTCGGATGCCCTTGGCGTTCCAACTTTCAAGTCACAGAGCAGCTTCTAATAACGGTATAAGTGCAGTCTGGTGCAAAATCAGAATTTAGTTTTCTCTTTGTTAAAAAGAACAAGATTTTCTTCAACTATTGTTCTGCTCTTGATAAGAGATTGTGAAAAGTTTGTCTTTACCTTTTCGGTTACCTGCCTGGAAAGCAAAAATTCTGCACCCTATCAAAATCTCCTATGCTTTGTGTCTTTCTTAGGTCTTTGATTACTTGGGAGAACTGAATCTTCTTGATATTAAAAGAGCTAAATTTTATTCATAATTATATATACTTTTGGGTGTGCTAAGTCATTTTAGTCCTGTCCGACTCTTTGTGACCCTATGGACTGCAGCCACCAGGCTCCTCTGTCCATGGGATTCTTGAGGCAAGAATATTGGAGCGGGTTGCCATTTCCTTCTCCAGGGGATCTTCCTGACCCAGGGATCGAACCCTTGTCTCCTGCATTGCAGGCGAATTCTTTTCCTTCTGAGTAACCAGGGAAACCCCTGAAACTTCTGCATTTGCCTTTAAAACCTCCCATTGTCACTTTGTTCCAACAGATAACTAAACATTACCAATGATCTAAGATCCTATTTGATCAAATGTTTAAAACTGTTGACATTTTGGACAACTTCTCCAAATCAAATTCTAAATGGAGTCTTTTGACCTCAAAGTGACTTTGAAATTTCCCGGAGAGAAATACCTCAATTTGATGAATTCTTTTTTTCTTTTCAAAGTTTTATTGAAATATAGTTGATGCATAATGCCGTGTTAATTTCTGCTGTACGGCAAAGTGATTCAGATACATACATACATATATACATTATTCTTTCAAAAATATTCTTCCCCATTATGGTTTATCACAGAATATTGAATATATTCCCTGTGCTAAGCAGTTGTTTAGTTGCTAAACCGTGTACAACTCTATGCAACGGCCAGCTACAAACTGGCACTTACCAAGAGCATCGCCAATGACTGAACACCAGAGGCATTTGCCATCTGCCTCTGCGGAGCCTGAACCCCGTGCTGCCATAGCTGTTGAGCTTCACCACCCCCCGAGGGGGTTCAGGGCAGAGTGAGGCCCTCTGTGCTCCAGGGGATCTGGTGGGACCGGTCTTTAGATAG